TAATATTTTACTAATATTATATTATCAATTACAAGATATATCTAGCCTGTTACTGTAAGCTTATTAAAATAAATATTAGAAAACTTTGTTTTATATCTAGTAATCCCGGCTTTATTTTGTAGATTTTGATTGAATGATTATTTAAAACTAATATTTCAGCTGTTATTAATTTTAGCTTAATAATAAATAATTAAATAATATTTTAATTTAAATATTCAAGATGTTTGCAGTAGCTTCAAAGAAACGGTAAAAATAATTTATATTTAATTTATAAAAATATTAGGGCTGGATAGCAGTAGATTATAATTATTAATATATATAAATGTAATCTACCACCGTATAATTATATTAAAAATATATTTATTAATATATTAATAAAATATTATAATCTATTATCAGTAACTGGATGAATTCTTATAATTTATCTGATAATATTTTACTGGATTTTCTTTAGCTGTTATAATTTTTGTTATATTCTTTAATAATCTCTAATACTTTCGTATATATTTAGCATGTTTTTACTAGAACTTTATTAATTATATTTACTTAGCTATTTTCTTAATTAAATAATAAAATTGATTATTATATTATTAATAATTCTTAATCTTTCAAATTTTTTACTTATCTTCATTATCTGACTTTAATATTAGAAGTAATTCTTTATAATCTCTTACAGTTTCAATAAAGAGATATAAAATATATTATAATTTTATTTATATTTCTTAGACAAATATAAGTAATATTTTCAGAATCTAATATATTTAAAAATCTAAAACAATTTTATAAACTTTAGAACTAATTTATTTAATTTCTTTAATCCTAAATTCTAAATTAATAGCTTAACTAAATCTCTTTCTTTAAAATAAAATAGCTTTTTATTTTTTATAGTTATTTATTATATTTTTTACAATTATTTTCTTATTTCTTTAAATTTTTTAATCTTATCTCATACAGCTGGAACCTTTTACTATTAAGAATCATTAATTCTCATATAAAAGTCAGGTGAATGCTTATAAAATATTATCAAATAATTATTTTATAATTATATTATTTATATTATTATAAATAAATTAAATAATTAGCAGCATTACTGGCCAGTTAATATTAAATTAACTAGAATAATATTTTAAATAACACTTTAAAATATAGTTTATTCTTTCTGTTTATCTATTAATTTAAGAATAAAATAATATGAAAAATTTCAAGGTTATTAAAATATTATATATTAGATTTAACCAGAATCTACTTATAAAAATTAATTCTTAATTAGATATTACTTTATTAAAAAATCTAAAAATTATTTTAATTTTTTTTATAAAATAATCCAGCAAGATCTGGAGCACTTATTAATAATAAAATAATAGACAAAAACAGTACTTCAAAAATTAATTAAGAATAATAAAAATAATATTAATAATCTTCTTATATTAAATAACAGGAGATAATCCTGTAATAAAATTTATTATTAAATTGATAAAAAATAAAATAAAATTAATAATAATTTAAGATTATCATATAATTTATACTTTAAAGCAGTATTATTCTAATATATTAAATAAATTTAAATATATTCAATTATATTTTTATATAATCCATTTTAATAGAACTTTCTGTATAATAGTATTTTTACTTATATTTATATTTTTTTAAAGTAATCCACTAGCAGATTATTATAGTATAAATAAATAAAGATCTCGTATAATATTTTAAAGAATAAGATATAATAATAACTTTTAAAATATAAATAATCTGTAGTTTTTATACTGGTATTTTTAATTTAATTATCTTTACTAAATAACAGCTTTTTACTATTATGTTTCTAAATCTTTATTCTATAAATATAAGATTATTTCTTGAAGCTTAGAATTATATATATCTAAAATTAAAAAAAACTTCTACAGTATATATTGATAATATTATAAAAAAATAAATATTTTTCAAAATAAACTTTTTAAGCAGACCAGTCAGCTGTCTTTTTAATAATTTAATTATTAGAATTCTTTAAATTTAATATAATACAAATATTAAATCTAGAATAATTCTATATATTTTAAGATTTAAACTAGGATTTCTTTTTAACTAAATCCCTTATTATCAGAAATGATATATCTATAAATTATTCTTAGATTAAGATTAATAATTTTTCCTTATAAAACAGATTTTATTTCTATTGAGAAGATATTCTGAAGAATTTATCTATTAGATTTAATTTTCTTATTTGATATATAATGATAAAATTATAAGAAATTAGACTTATAAATTATCAGGCTTACTTTATTAACTCTAGTTTGATATATACAAAATTATAAGTTTAGATAATTAAATAATCTTATAATTAATTAGAAAATATTTTTGAAATACTATCATTACTATTTAAAAGAATGAATAATAATATATAACTTTTAATTTAAAATATTATAATTCAATTCAGTACTGGAGAAATTATAAAACTAAGAATAAATTAAATAAAATATATTTCTATAATTAAATCAAAATAAGATGCGACTTATTCCTTTTTTAATATATTAATTTCTGAATATTAGAATTTTATAGGATTGAAGTGTATTAATAAAAATACTTATTAAAAATAATAATCAATAATAAAAAAAATATTTATATTTAAATAAATCTTTTTTGATTTTTTACCGTTGACTGCTTTATAAAATAAAAACATAAAAACATAAAAATAATATGATATATAAATAATTCTAAATAATTTGATAATAAAAATTATAAAACCTTAAAAAGATCTAGATATTATAATAACTTTTAATTATTAATTATACAATATTATTATTTATCCGTTGAGAATCTATAGGTATTTTATTAATATTACCTATATATTCTAGAAATTTGACTTAGAATTAATAAAAGGAATATTAAAATAATTTTATATATAGTTAAACTTCTCAAAGTCTTTCTAATACTTGATAAATTTATGTTATATAAGATTTTTTATATAAATAAGAAGATAAACTATTATCTTTTATTTTTCATTTTCTCTAATATGGATTCAGTAGTAAGTATTCTTGATATTAATTTTTTTGAAAGATATTTATTATTTAAGATTTTATCAAGAATCTCTTAAATAAAAGATAAAGAGTAATAATTTTTAATAGAGACTTTATTAAGATTTCTGTAATTTATATAAAGATATAAATTATTATTTTCTTCAATATAAAGAGAATAAGAGCCTGTATAAGACTCTATAAAAATTATATTTAAATTTAATTTTGAATTTTTAAATATATTTTTGTAGGATTTCAAATTCAGTTTTCAATAAATAATAAATAAAATTAAAAAAAATATTCTATAAAATTTAATATTAATAACATAGTCCGCTGGACTGTAGAAAAAATTTATTAATATAACTTTATAAAAATATATTTTAAAATAATTTAAGTTTAATTAATATTATATATATTTAAAGATAAGTCGGAAGGCCTTTTATCTGATAATTAAATGTTTTTAAAGAGTTTAATAATAGTATATACTTTAACTGAATTCTGAGTTGCTTTAAAAAAATAAAATTATAAAGAGATCATATATTAAATTACTATTAGTGATTCTATATCAATAAATTAATATAGATATTCTAAGATATAGCTATAAATAATAAGATTAGACTACTTTCTAATTAAGAATCTCTCTTTGTTTTTATATAATACTATTTAAAAATACAGATATTTTCTATAGATTAATGGTAGTAATAAAGACTCCCTATATATTATAAATAAATTAAAGTAATAATCTAATTAATAATTTTAATTTTAGATACAGTAACTGGGGCATGTTAAAGAGTATAGATTTTAATGAATTAATAATTCATAATATTTACTCTAGTACAGCTATCCAGGTCTGTAAAGATTTCAAAATTATTTGGAATAAAAATAAAAATATAGAATTAATAAATAATCCCTATTATAATTAAAGAAATTAAAATTATAAGATCTATTTTGACTTTTTTACTTTTCTTTCAGAATCTAATAAATATCAGTAGGTCTTAGCAGATTAAATTTTCTTATTTTTAATAAGGTTTTAATTTCTAAAATACTGAGTATTATTACATATAATATATTATAATTACTTATTATTTTTTTAATAAAATTCCTTTTTATGATTGAAGATATCTTCTTTCACTAATCTGTTTAAATAGCTTTAGAAATATTTATATAATTTATAATTATTAAATTAATTATAATTTTATTTATCGTTCTTTTTATTATTCTATAATTTATAATAATATATAATAATAACTATTATCTTAATTTATTTTTCTAGTAAATAGGGGACATGTTCTTATATATAATAATTCAAATTAAATAATAACTTAGTAAACTATAATAGAATCCTTCCTTATCTGATAAGGAAAGTATTATTATAAAATATTAACATAAATATAAAACTCTTTTTAGATCTTAGCTATATTACTAGTAAATCTGTTTAAAATAGATTATATATCTGATTAAAAAATAATAATATTTTAGATTAAGACAAGAATCTAATCCCTGGATTAAAATCATGATTTCTGTTAGAGCAGGCCAGCTGACTCACTATGATCCAGCAGGCCACCGGAGTAATATACAGTTACAGATGACATGAAATAAGCAAGATTATATAATTCATGTTTAATAATATATTTTACTGCCTTCCAGCACTAAGAATAGTAATCAGTTTAAAACAGTATAATAACTAGATTTATATACAATAATTAAACTTATTATATTTTTTATTATTTCTAACACTCCTAATCATTCTTTTCATAAAAAAAAGACTTAATAAATAAAATGTTACTTTATACTTAAAGTACTGTGCCAGGACAAGACTTGCAGAAACTTTTTAATAATCTCATTATAAGATTTCTAATAACTAAAACTACGAGCAGTGAGTATCTAACTAATATAAAAATTAGTAAGATCTCTGAGTTGTATGGATTCTCTAGAAATAAAGATATTATGATATGAAAGTAGTAACTGCACGAGAAGAGAAGTCTGGTTAGTGTCATAGATTACTATCCTAAAGGATGATCTAAGTGGTAAGATACCACCTGCTCCCGTGTATACATGTCTATATAAGCAGGATTCTAGGAGTCCGCAGGTAGCTGCGGGTAATGATAGTCTTTTTGGCCTTGCGTGTACAACTCCCCTAGGTTGTTCTATGATAGTTAGAAAATTATAATCATAGAAATAACCTGCAGATCTAGATAAGATAATAAGAGATATAAAATAGTAATATTCTGGATTATAAAATGTTTTTACTAGTCTTTTATAATAGATAAAATCCTAAGAAAGAGGCAAGGAGGACTTTATATATTTAATAGAATTATTAATTAAATCTATAATTATTAAGAAATATTATAACAAGGAAATAATTAAATACTCTATTTATATAATTTATATAAAGAATTATTTTATATAAAATATATATTATTTTATCTAAGATAGCCTGAAAATAGTAGATATCATTTTTTACATATATTTTTTACTATTTTTTAAGGAGTAATATAGTAAGAAAATATTTATTAATAAAGAATTTATTTTAATTTAGCTAGAGTACTATAACTTTTTTAATAATTTAATAATTCTATAAATCTATAAAGAAATGTAAATTAATATTATTAAAATATACAATAAAAACATATTGATTTATATATAAATTTATATAATATATCTACTAATAGTATGCTCAATTAGAATTATATATTAAAAATTAGTAAAAGAATTATCTGTATACCTGAAAATAGAAAAAGAATTATAAAAGAATCTTAAAATATTCCAGAAAACTGAATATATATAATATTTTTATAATTTATTTATAAATCTTTAAGAACTAAATATTAAAATAATAAGGAATACTTATAATAAAGCAGAAAAATACTAGAATATTGTTTTAAAAAATTTATAGTAATCTAGATAATACAAAATCTAGAAAATAAAAATAAAATCTTAAAATAAATTTAAATATAATAGAAAATAGATCTTAGATAAAGGATTTTATATTTAATATTAAATATTATTACTACTAGAAACTGGAATTATAATAACTTATTATCTAGAAATATAATATAAATAAAAAATTAAATATTTTAGTTTTATATATAACAGCAGTGCTAGAACTCTAATTATAAAAAAGTTTTAATTTTATTAAGATATAAATAATAGTTAATATATTCAAAGATCTTATGCTAGTATATACTTTAATAAATTATAATATATAAATAAATCTTATAAATTAATTATAAATAAAATAATAATTAAATTTATTAAACCAAGTCCCCTGTATTATATATCAAATACTGACAGACTATGCTGGTTTTAGTATATTTTTTAAATGATATTATAAATTTAAAATCTTAATATAATGATCATTCAAGAGTTTTATCTGACTTATTATAATTTCTTAATAATTATATATATATAATCTTTATTTAACTGCTTTTACATGATTATATCATCAATTTCAACAAAGTATATTCTTAAAAATTATCCTGGATCTGTTTCTTTATTAATAGAAAATCTTAAAATATTATTTATCTAATTATCTATTAAAACAGCCTAGAATTACTATGTCCTAAAGAAATACTTATATATGAAAAGAATAATTATATGTTTAACATTAATCTTATAGAAATTTCTCTATTATTTATAGACTGGCTGATAGATTATCCGCTTTATAAAGATTAATATTATTTTAAATTTAATTTTGATTTAGATTAATTTTGATTTAGATTAATTTTGATTTATGAAGGCCTTTGCACTGGAATATTTGTTAAAGTTATATAATTAACAATTAAAAATTATTTGCTAAAAATTCTGATTATATATACTTTAGTTAAATGAAAACATTATATTATTAGATCATATTAATATTACTGTATTTTATTCTATATTAGTATTCATATAAAAGCTAATAAAGTAATTATAAAAAAACTAAATTATACAATAATTTTGCTCAGAAGATACTAATAAAATTGAATAAGAAAATATAATAAATATTATAACAATATAAATACTAATGCTTGGAGGAGGATGATAAAAGGTTTTATATATTCAATCTATAATAAATTAAATAATTATCAAAATATTAAGAGCTGTAAGTTATAGGTAAATTTTAAGAAAAAGTTATATAGAATTCTCACTGGCTATATAAATATAGATTGAATATAATTAAGTTTATTTTTATACTGTTTTATATAATTCTAGTAATATTGCTTATAACATAAAGAAAGTGACACCTTGGTTGACCGATAATGTTGGACAACATGAATACTAACATAACTGATTTGAGTAATATTATCACTAAATATTATTGTTTAATATTATTATACATATCAAAGATTACGTTATAAATTATTTGATTCAAATAATATTTTCAATCTTCTCTTCCAGCAGGTACTATCTTAAATTGAATAAATAGTACTATAATTATATAATATATATTTATATCACAGGTATTATTTTATTTTTTCTTATATATTAATTATTATTATACTGTGCAAGGCCAGGTAAAGATTATAATATAAATCTAAATTTTTGTTATCTTATTATCTTGCTGAATATAATCCATAAAATTTTTAATATATTTAGTTATTATATATTTCACTTATGCGATGGAATATCATAAATCTTTATTATAGAAACATATAAATTAACAGCAGGAATATTTCTATAAATATATATAATATTCTTCCAAAATGATTTATACTTAAATATATTAAATATCTTATTATAATTTTCTTAATTTGTAATATATCCAGGATTTAAAATAATGTTTTTTATTTATATTTATTATATAACATAAAACATAATAAATAGTAACTTTAGTATTCATTAATTGAATCAAAAACTTTCTTAATAACTAATATATAATTATTACTACACTAGAAAATATTTAGCACGAAGTATTAAATAATAATATTTAACAGGAGTTTCTACTTCTGTATTTGAATGATTTTATAATATTAATTTATTTCTCAAATTAATAATAATAGCTTGATCCAATCAGAATTATTCTTTCAATAAAATATATAAATAATATCTATATTTTTCTCTAGACTTGTATTATTTAAAACAATCAAGTTAAATTTTAATATATATACATATATGTAAATTCTTAAATAAGTATAACTTAATCTATTTAACTGAATAGTATATTTTTATATTCATTATTAATAACTCTTATATTATAAAGCTTTGCTACTTATTTTATTTATAGAATATTAAAATTAAGATTATAAAGAAATTCTACTATCTCATTTTTATTTCATTTTATGATTTATGATTTATTGAAGGGATTCTATTTGAAATGGTTAAGAATTATAATAATTAGCCTTATTTTTATTTTAATTTCTATTATTGACTTAATATAATAAACTTTATGAGAATACTAGAAGTTTTTATACTATATCTTATATAATTTTTAGGCATATTTTTATATTCTACCTGTCTGTATTGCTTTTAAATTAATAATTAAAATCGATTATTTATATATTCTAGTATTATTACTTTATCAAATACTTTATTTTATGTATAACTAGAATCTAATATTGTTCTCTTTGTAAAGGCCTAAAATAGAGATCTTATTTAATATTTTTAAAAACAAAATAATGAATGTGTAGAATTTGAGATAAACAATTCTATAATAATTTCTTTACTAAAGCATCTCATATATGAAAATTTTCAATAGAAAAGAGAAAATACTTTGATAATATTAATATTTAACTATTGATCTTTAAATATCTTCTTATATCTATACTAATAATAATAATTAGAAAGACAATATTAGTATAATAATATTAAATCATAAAGTTTTATAATATTTATTTTCATGGGCTTTAATTATAATAAAAAACTAGATAAGATTAAGACCCTTTTTGATTTTTTATAAATCTTTTTTTATATTATTTTACTAATTTACTAAGTAATAGTAATCTTTTAATGTCTTTTTATATTATCTATATTCTTTTATATAAAGGTAGCTGATATATATTTTTTCTTATTCTCTTATTAAATCAGTTATATAATATAATTTTCTAATTACTTTATATAAGGAATGATTTATATAGCAAGAATATATAATCTGTATTCTATATATAAATTAGTTATATTATATAGATTATATATTCAATTGTAACTTAATTAAATATTATATAGATCTTTTATATTAGATTACTTAATTTCTTTTCTAAAAAGTATATGGTCAGGTGTAGGATGATTTATAAAAAATATATAAATAAAAAATAATTAAAGTATTATTATTATTATCTTTTCTTATTCTGCATGTTGTAGTTGTTTTATATATCTTTAATATTATTGATATCTTATCTCTATAAAATTCTGTTTTAAGAGTAATCTTTATTGTGTAATTTTAATTAAATATATTTAATATACTTATTACTTACCCAGTTACTATCTTATATATCAGTAAATAATTTCCTTGATATTAAAAATATGAGATATAATCAAATCAATTTACATAATAATTTCTTGATTATTATTATTACTATCTACTATTACTATTAAATATAGCCTGGTAATATCTCACATTAAATTATATTTAAAATAATATTATTAATTTATAACGTATTTCACAATCGCGCGGCCCATCAAATAATGCCATATAAAAGCTGCTTTTTTAATCTCTAATCTCTCAATAACTACAATTTATATAGGTCTATAATGTTAAATTGAGATTAATAACAATAAAATAAATATATAAGAAGTATTCAGTTATTTCTTAATAATTTATTTATATTCAATTTAGAAAAATTTATAAATTACAAGTAAATTTCAGGTATTTATATTACCAGCTATTATAATTATATGTAGTTATTTAATATAAAAAAATTGAAAATAAATATTCAATCATCATAATTTATCTCTCTAAGATAAAGTCATGATTCCATAATGGTTGAGATATTAGAGAGTAAAAAGCAGTTTTATATGGCATTATTTAATGGGCCGCGTGATTGTACGGGCCGCGCGATTGTGGTTTATGTTATAGTCCGCTATCTCTAGAAATCTAATATCAAAACAATAAAAAATCTAAAATACTATTTTATATAGAAAATTAATTAGTTAATTTATTTATGTATGCTTACATTAAATCTATATTTTAATATTAAATAATATTAATTTAGTAACTATGTATTACTGTT